CGGCGCCAGAGCTGGCAAGGGCATGCGCGGTGCTCCCAGGGGCGGGGCCAAGGCCGGTGCCGGAGCTGGCAAGGGTACGCGCGGCGCCCCCGGGGCCGGGACCGGCCATGCGCCCGGGGCTGGCATCTGCCAGCCCAGATTGCTCCGCGGGCGCATGTAAAGAGCCCGGCGGGCGCCATGGCGCCCGCGGGCACCAGGTTGGGGACCACGGCTCTGGAATATCACTAGCTAATATGGTCAATACTTGAACAAGACACAGTGATTTAGTAGTGACTTGCTGCTTGTCCTTCGTTAAATTTCAACTTAAGTCTATATTCTGCCTACCAAAATTTCCCTTTCAGTCTCAACTGGATATGTATATTTCACTTTCTGTCATAAATAGTTATGTATTATTGCTGCGTTTTAACAGAAGTCTGATCTTTTTAGTGAAGGACAGTGACTTACCTAATAATTCTTAATGCTTAAGTAGCTCTGCATCTACAATTAAAATGTTTTATAAAGTACCTTGCAACCCAGATTCATACAAGACATTATATTTTGCAGGGTTATTCTTTTAAGTCTAAAAGTAAAATAATCACATAGTATTATACTATCTCCTGATCTGTACTGGATAAGATATATATATATATATAGGCTAAAAAGGTAAAAAGCTTAATTGTCAAAGTCAAATCACCTGGCATACTTACCAATAATAATGATCTGTTCATTGTACAACGTTGTGTTGCATGGTCTAGTTAGGGTAATTCGTTCCAAAACAATTGGCTAGGAAACCAGAGTTAGTTGTTACACCAGCTTGAGAATGACTTTTAAAGTTTAAAATAAATGCCCTCCAAATGTCTGTAGCAGACATCATCATTATTGATCATAGTGATCCTTCCTGGCCTTGGAATCTCTCGTTAACAATAGGAGCTGTTGGATTTTATCTGAGATGTGTGGGTCTTATCCAATATGGGCAGGTCTTTCATGACCTGCTTTCAAGAGTTTTGGGGAGTTTCTTTCAGCAAAAGAAGAGATTCAAGCAATGCTGTCACAATTTGGAAAGGTGTGCAAGACTGATAACTTCTTCTCCACTCAGTGCAATAGTAATCCAAGGGGAAAATAACTTGGTATGGAGAAGGCAATTCTAATCTTTCTTATGGACAACATTATTATATTTTAAACTCATACACTCCTACAGATTATGGATTGCTTAAGTGGTTAAACATAGCTGGATAGATTCACAACAGTTGCATGTAATTATGAAATTATTTCTTGGACACTCTCTACAGCTCAAGGAATGGATTAGGAGAAATGGAAGGTAAAATACAAAGAAATTTTATTCTATTTGAATTGGCCTTCGAATGATTAGAACTCAAGTTTATCCATTAAAATAGCTAAAACCATCTGAATAAGAGGGGAGTCTCTAAAGTGTAGGATGATGATCAAACCCTTCTATATCACTAGAGCACTTAGGGTATTGAGCCATGAGTTGAAAAACTCCTGAGCCTTTGCTGTGGAAGTCCTGCAACAGGGCATAGCTTGGAGTGCACATATGTAGCTGAAAGCATTATTTGGCCTGTTAATTATGCTGTGGCCTGAAAAAGTAAAACACAACTTGACAGGTTGAATATTCAAGAATTGCGGCTAGAAAATGTCGTGTTTGCCCTGTAAAGTAGGAAAACTTTGATATAAACTTGAGAAACACAGAGCCCCCTTCCCCCTCCATGCCATTTTTAGATTCACTTCTAGAGTTAGAGCTGCACTTAGTGTGCAATTTCTTGGGTGTTTAAAAGTCTTTTCTTTTTCAGGATCACAAGTATCTTGAGCCATACCTGAAAGAGGTAATCCGTGAACGACTTGAAAGAGAAGAGTGGGACAAGAAGTAATTGCTGGGAAGATGCTTCATGCAAAATACTGAAATTTCTTTCTAACAAATATTTGAAAGTTATTGTAAAAATCTAAGAGGAAAATCTGAGGCTGAAGAAACACTTTGTTCGCTGAATTTTCAGTCCAACTAAAATAAACATATTGAAGTACAAAATCTAGCTGGGGATTTTATTTTACAAATTGTAACAAACCAGCGTTCAGACCTTTCCTACAGTCAGAAATATTGCATATCACCACATGAATGTGTAGCCTTCATTCCAGCCTCTTGATTCATACTCTTGTCATAGAACAGCTGCTTCCTGCAGCTGGGAGGGTAGGTAAGCAAAAGTCTTTGAGTGTTTATGCCAACTCTTCTAGTTAATTTATAAAGGGGAATACTTATGCACAGAGTGATAGGCTTACACCCTTCAATCGCATCTCTTCCCTGGAGACAGGAATACTATTATGCATGCTTGATTTTCAGCAGCATTATGTAACTGTGTACCCAAGCACATGGAATGCTATTTAATCACAGAATAAAGATAATTGCCTCAGTTTTATTAATGTCCTAGTTGCTCCCTTCATGTACTAAATGCTAAACTACACTTTTGAATAACTGTCTTCTGTGATTGGTAACAATGTGTGGGTCTAGATCAATGGTCACCAACCGGTAGATCAGGATCTACCAGTAGATCTTGGAGCCACTGACAAGTGAACCTAACTGGTTTGGCCAGGAAGCTATCAAGTGCTGGCACTTCAGGTGCCTCTCCATCCACTCTCATGGTGCTCCTGCCCTCTGCCTTAGAGCTGCCCCCTTGGGAGCCTCCTGCTTGATGTGCAGGGTGTAGAAGGGCGAAGAGGGAAGAGATGCTGATGTCTGGGTGTCCCGCCTCTCCCCACTCCTGTACCTTATCTCCACACAGAGAGAAGGGGATGGAGGGAGATTGGCAATGCAGTGCAAATCTGTCACTTTTACACATTATATGTGTGTCATTCTCACAAACACACACTGTTTTTCACTCATCTCCCGACCCAACACATCCATGGTGTGTTGTTGTTGTTACTTTTACTGATTGCAGAGTATGTTGGATTTGGACGATCTGTGCCTTTCATAGTTTTCCTTTCTCTCTCATGCTTAAATGTAATTATTTGGGTAGTGAGTTCTGAAATACCTAACCTGTTGTGACTGGAGTAATTGTTTCTATGGTAACTGCTGCTCCTGGAAGTGGCTGACATGTCCCTGCAATCCTGGGAGACGCAGATCAGAGGATCTCCACATGTTGTCCTTGCCTGCAGACACCACTCCTGCAACTCCCATTGAACAATAACTGGGAACTGTGGCCAGGAGAAGCTGTGGGCTCAGTGCCTTTAGATGAGGGGCAGCACATGGGACCATGGAGCCATTGTTGTACATGCCAGCTGCTTTCAGGAGTGATGTAAGGCCAGCGCAGGAGTAAGCCTGCCTTAACCCCCCTGCTCCACCAGCCAGAAGCCATTTCAGGTAAATGGTGCCCAGCCAGATGATGCATCCTGAATCCCTGTCCTAGTCCTGAACCTCCTATACCCAGCCTCCAGATGTGAGTCCCCCTGCACCCAAACTCCTTCCCAGAGCTTGCACCCTGAAATCACTCCTGGACCCCAAGCCCCCACACTGGGCTAAGCCTGGAGCCCCTCCAATACTCCAAACCCCTAGGCCCAAGACCAAAGCCTGCATTCCAACCCTCTATCCCAGCCTGGTGACTTGGAGTGAGCAGGGTGAAGCCTTGGAGAAGGGGTTGAGCAGTGGCAGGGCCTCAGAGAAGGGGCAGGAAGGAAGTGGGACAAGGGTATTTGGGTTTGAGAGAGATCTTTTATTGCACTTAAATTGGAAAAGTGACCTTGTGGTTAAAAAGGTTGGAGACCACTGGTCTAGATTCTTTAAATTTTACAGTATGTTGCTGAGTTATAGTGGCATTAACTATGAAATCTTGCAGCAAGCCAAGTCTGCTGGTGATATACTTAGTTTGGCCAATGTGCTAGAGCGCAGGGCTGGAACTTGGTAGTCCTGGATTCTTTTCACAGTTTTGCTGTTGGCCTGTTGTATGACCTTTAGCAAGTCACATTATCTGTGTGCTTCAGTTGCCCCATCTTAACATAGGTAATCATGCTCCTTTTGTAAAGTGTTCTGTGGATGAAAACACTGTATAAGAGCTAGGTATAATTTCAAAAGTGGATGGATAAATGGCACGCACAGTTTGCAGATGGATGGTGGCTATCCTCTCAGACTAGGAGTCTGAAGAAGTTGCTTTCGCAATTCCATCTGCCACAATCCCACACAAATTCTTTCAACAAAGGATCTATTTTCTTGCTTCACTGAAGTCACAGTAAAATGTATTAACTAAATCTTTCCTGCTGTTACAGATCTGCAAATGAAAGATCAATGTGCCACCTTATACCTCTATTAAAAAAGACCTTAAAGATTATCAGGCTTCAAATATTAGGGATCAGCAATGTCTAGTCTGCTTTTCCGTGAGTTTCAGAAGTGGGATTGGTGTTCTGACCATCTAATATTTTTAAAAGTTCTAAGTTGTTAAAATAGATGTTTAAACAAGTAAATCTAAATAGTCTCAATTGGGGGGAAAAATCAATGGCCTTTTTCTATTTTAAAATATCCTGTTATGTCACTGCATCTCTCTCAAGAGTTTAGTTGAAAAGGAAAAGTGTCTCAACTTTCTCTATTGAGCAGATTGATGGCTTGCAGGATAATAAAGCCTGTCACAGGCTCATTGGCTCCTAATATATGAAGCTGGTCCAATACCCCCGTGCTAGCGCAGGTGCTCTCATACAGCATTTGGAGGCTATATAAAGGGTCCAGGAGAGACTCAGGCAGGGAGGAGTTGTGATGAGAATTAGGATAAGTGAGGAGATCTCTGGGGAACATACCTGAGAACAGAAAACTCTAGTCTTCCAGTGGAAAGAGAAATTATCAAGAAGCCAGTGGAGGGACAGGTTGGCCTGCTGACCTTCCACAGTCAAAGCTACAACTGGGAGTCTCCAAGTGGCTGAGGCTATCCTGCTGTTCTTCCTAGGCTAGAGCGCCAGGACCAGAGGAAGGTGGAGAGGGCTGAAGGCTGAGAGGAGCGGAGGGAGAAGCCTGTTGGCTCTCAGAGCTGATGCTAGAGAACTGTGCTGATATAAGGCCATTGCTTGAGGGCTGGCACTGTGTGTTGAGTGCACTGTGCTGGTGGAATTCTGGACTGTGGTTATGGGACTTTGGTAAATAATGAACCCCACCAGACTCACTCTGTGGAATCTGAAGGAAGGAAAATGAAGCAGCTACACCTGTCATGATGTGGCCTGCAGAAGAAGAGTGCTCCAGGTAGGATGCCCTATGACACTGTCATTAATAAACTAACAGGTTATGTTGAGTATCAGAGGGGTAGCCGTGTTAGTCTGAATCTGCAAAAGCGGCGAGGAGTCCTGTGGCACCTTATAGACTAACTGAAGTGTAGGAGCATCTGCTGAGCTACAGTTCATCTTTAAGTTTGACACAATCAACTCTGGATTAAACAAAGACTGTGAATGGCTAGCTAACTACAAAAGCAGCTTCTGCTCTCTTGGAATTCACACCTCCAGATCAGCTGCTAGAAGTGGGCCTCATCCTCCTTGATTGGATCACCTCATCATCTCCAGCCTGATCCTGGCCTGCATATTTATTCCTGCCTCTGGAAATTTCCACTACATGCATCTGACGAAGTGGGTCTTTGCCCACGAAAGCTTATGCTCCTACACTTCAGTTAGTCTATAAGGTGCCACAGGACTCCTCATCGGTTATGTTGAACATTTCTTCTAGCATACTACAAGTACACAGAAGAAATATGATGGACAATCCCCCAAATAGCAAAAGAAACCAAATTCTATCCAGGTAATTAAGGTTAGAATCTCCCTATCATTAGACATTTAACAGCATATCATTACATTGTGGTCCTAAGTGACAGCTGTTACATCACACTTCCAAGGAAACGAATTTATAAAATCTGTGGGGAAACCAAATAAAATTCTCCAGTTAAATCTCTAAAACTATTAATGTCCTGGCATATAGATCCATCAGAGAAGGACTAAATAGGATAACTGGTTAGTGTCTCCTTGCCACTGGGACACCAGAACTTCACTGGATTTACTGTAATCATAAAAGAGTAGAGTTGAAGAGACCTCAGGAGCTCATCTAGTCCAACCCTCTGCTCAAAGCAGAACCAATCCCCAATTACATCATTTTAACCAGAGCTTTGTCGAGTCTTGCCTTAAAAACTTCTAAGGATGAAGATTTCACTACTTCCTTAGGCAACCCATTCAAGTGCTTCATCACCCTTCTACAGAAATAGGTTTTTTTTCCTAATATCCAACCTAGATCTCCCCACTGCAACTTGAGACCATTGCGTCTTGTTCTGAAATCCGCCACCACTGAGAATAGCCTGGCTCCATCCTATTTGGACCTCCCCCCACTTTTCAGGTAATAGAAGGCTGCTGTCAAATCCTCCCTCATTCTTCTCTTCTGTAGTTGAAATAAGACCAGTTCCCTCAGCATCTACTCATAAATCATGTGCTTCAGCCCCCTAATCATTTTTGTTGCCCTCCACTGGGCTCTCCAATTTCTCCACATTTTTTTTCCATTGTGGAAGTCCCACAACTGGATGCAGTACTCCATGGCTTTGTCTACACTGCAAGATCTTCTGGCAAAAAATATGCTAATGAGGGACTCATTTGCATGAGTTGCGATCTCATTAGCGTATTTTCTGCTGTTTCTTTTTGCGCAAAGGGTTGTTGCACAAAAAGAAGCAGTGTAGACGGTGGGTTTTTGCGCAAAAAACCCGTTTTGCACAAGATCCTTATGCCTCTCTGGGAGACCTTTTCCAATTTCCCCTCATCTTTCCTGTGGTGCTTCTATCCAGCTTCTCATCTACCCAGGTTCTTTTTACAGAACTGCTTTGTAGCTAGTCGGACCCCACCCTGTAGCAGTGCATTGGATTCTTCCATCCTAAGTATAGGAATCTGTACTTATCCTTGTTGAACCTCATCAGATTTCTTTTGACTCAATCCTGCAATTTGTTTAGGTCATTCTGGACCCTATCCCTACCCTTCAATGTATCTACCTTTCTCCCCAGCTTAGTGTTGTCCATGACCTTGCTGTGGGTACAA